GCTGCATTGTACACTCGACCCTTCAGGGCGAGAGTAATGTTGCGCAGCCGCCATAGGTGGCGAAGGTTAGCAAAAACGCCCCGAGCTTTTGCTATGCGGTTCGTGATCTCGTCTTCGATCCCAAGAGCGCTGATACAATTTCCCAGATAGTTTAATTTTTGAAAGACTTCTAGCTGATCCCCAACAATGGTCACCGCAGGAGGCGATCCCTGCCAATCTTGGAAGAACGCTTTGCATTCCGGTGGTGCAAAGCAAAGTCTGATGCGGCTGATAGCCAGTGCTAATCTGTCCAGCGCGGCTTGGCACGTCTGGGAGCTGTCACAGATGAGGGTAATGTCGTCTGCATACTCCAAGTCAAGAAGTCGTTCTCTTGGGAGTAGCTGTACAACTTCCAAGTCATGTCCTGTAAATGCAATCTCCATAACTTCGTCAATAGCGAAGTTGAAGAGGAAAGGTGAAAGCGGGCATCCTTGTCTCACATCGCTGGAGATATTGTAGGGTGACGACAGCTTGCCGTAAGCCCTCACTCTGCCCGTGCTACGCGCATATAATGCTTGGATAATATTTACATATTTCTCGGGCACACCTTTCCTGATTAGACAATTCCAAAGGGCACATCGATCAACCGAATCGAAGGCACCTTTGATGTCGTGAAACATGTCTACGGTGGGCCGCCAATGAGTGTGACGTTGCTCCAACAACTGACGAAAGGTGATGATGTGATCGATGCAGCCAGGACCCCGACGAAATACGGCTTGTTCTTCACAAATCTGACTTTCACGAGCGCCAGTCAGTCTGTGAAGAATTACGGAGGAGAGTAATTTGGAGGCGATGAGTTAAGACTGATTCCTCTATGTGTGCCGCCTTCCGAACGCGAGTCTCCTTTGAAGATGGGACAGTCTCCTGCTCCCACAGTTCACTAGTATTTCATGTAAAGCATCAAAAATTATACATTCACCGAATTTGAAGAGGGCTGAAGGAAGATCACCGGGTCCCGCGGCTTTGTTCAACTTCTACAGACCGATCTCACTCTCGACTTCTGAGCGAGAGGGTGGATCCAAAGGAACAGCCCACGGAGCAAGGTGGTCACTGGCAGGCGAAGAATCGAACAATTCAAGCCGATTAATTTTTTTCAAAATGCTCAGCCTAAAGCTCCAAACGTCGTGACAAATAGTGGATAGGCTGTCCACTCTCATCACAAATTGTTTCACTAACACCAGGTCTCCTGCTGCCCGTTTCCTGTATCAGACGGAATAATTCACGATGGTTGCCGAGGGCAGCGGCCACTTCCTTATCTGACGCACGTTTAGAACACCAAGATTCGCGGCCTCTCTTCAGGATAGCACGGTGTTTTGCCCGGAACTCTTTGCGAGTTTCGTTGTGTTCGCTTCCAGGCAGGATATGCCGGCGAGCATCGATAAGTTCCAGAGACCGCGAAGAGACCCAATATCCATGTTGGCTATTAGACATACCACATGAGGATTTCTTGCTGCTAGTAAAGTCGGGTGAACACGCGACCAGTGATCATCAATTGTCTTCAGTGGGCGCTTACTCAACACGCATGTCAGCGTATTTCGATACGCATTCAGTACAGCTGCTTTTGTAAGTTAGCTGGTGTTAACGCGCTCACAGCGTCGTCGTGGGCGTCCGCCAAAACTCATCCGCCTGTCAGCACGTACAACTGCATGATCGGTGTCCACACCTTTGCTCCAAATCGAGCGACAGTTTTGATTACAGCTTCTCCAGCGGTAACTGAGAGCAATGTGATCGATCTGTGTCCAAGGTTGATTCGAGGCTGGTGGGCGCCAAGTCACCCTCCGGCGGGTGTTGTGTCGGAAGTTAGTATTTGCAAGAAATAAGCGGACATCTTCACACAAATGAATAATCGCTCACTGTTATCATTAGGGGAGCCTAAACCTTGCTGACCGCCTAGATGCAGTTCATCAATGACAACTTTCCGACTAGTGCGTTCAGATCCCCGGCCAGCAAAACAGTGTCCGTGCTACTTCTGGGGCGAAGAAGCTGGGTCAGTTGGTGATAGAAGTCGTTCTTTACCGAATCATCGCTACAGTTTGTGGGCGCGTAGGCAGCGATGTTGAATACACACCTATTAGTGCCGCGCAACTTCGAAGCTTTGAACGAGCCAGCCAATCGGACCGCACACATCCGGCTACTGATTGGAATCCAATCAAACAGAGCAGCTTCAGCTCGGGGACTCAGGGCAATGCCAACATCTGCTTGGCTGGTGCTCGAAGCTGCATCGCCACCGGATAGGCGCAATGAGAAAATACTGCTTGCGTCACCTGAAGGAGATCGCTGAGGGAGCACAGAGCTCGAGTCTTGCAGGCGGGTCCCTGATAAGCAGCAGATATCGATCGAGAGGGATTCCAATGTTCGGGGAAGTGCTGCCTGTTGACCGAGCTGTAGTAATGTGCGTAAATTGAGGGGTGCCAATCTGAACGAGGATCAAGGGCCCCAAATGGGAGCCGATGAACTGAAATGGACCGTTTGGTTGGACATGGGATTATCGACAGGAAAATAGTGACGCTCCGCGCTCATACGTGAGCTGAAATTAGAAGATAAACGTCTAGCAAAACATGTTGGGGGAGGGCCAATAATCGGCGCTGAAAACTGGGTGGATATAAGTGAATTTGGAGCGGAAGGGTAAGAATTCAAAAGCGTAAGATGGGGAATAATAAGACGGGAAGGCTTCAGCAGTAGCATCCAAACCCCTTTCCACCCTGCTCGATGTGGCAGGTAGGGCAGCGTCGATTATCCTCTGCAGTGGCCAGAGCATCAAGAAATTGTTTCACGGATGATTCATAGTATTTCGAGGGCAATATACTGTCCGGTTACCCAGGCCCAGACAGGAGAACGATTAGTGTTCTCAACCAAAGCCTTTGGTTCAAAAACCTTACCGTATGGCAGCGGGTTAGGCGTTAGACCACAATGAGTCCGTTTTAAGGAATAAGGATACACCCTTACTACAAGCCCTAACGTGGAGAACCAGGAGGCTGAGTTTTTCTGGCCTATAACCATTGACCAATCTGGTATGAGTGAATCTGAATGTGCAAATGCACCACCCAGCATAGCTCAATCAATGGCTGAGGCACACAAACCATCGCACCACGGAAGGGTCCAGCCTCATCGAAATCTTTTATATAGCTATTGCCTTAACACTACAAACTAGATAATATTGCATGACTCTTGGACCATCGAGAGAATAGAATATGTAAAAGCCAGCCTAACATCCTCCCCGTTAAGAATCTCATCAGTTTCATTCTTAGGCATTCCCGGAGAGGTAGAATCGGCTCACACACATTAGCTCAACAAGGTAGCTAACTACATGATGGGAACTGATTCTGATTCAGTTGGTTCCATCTATTTGCATCGTAGATGTGCCTGTCTACGGACACCTGCGAGCAACTTACTCACTTGAAGTGGGTGCGTCGAATGAGTGGAACCGGATAAAGTCAACAAAATACTTTTGCGCCACAATAGCTTCTGAACTCGAGCTAGCAATATTAATGAGGCCATGCGCCGTTCATGATCCGCTGGCATTTGAGTGCGTGGGAAATAATGGCTGACAAGCCTTGCAGAATTCCAGAAAAGTGTGTAATGTGGCTGCAGTCCATGAAGGGTGAATTAGAGGTACTCGCGGACAATGCTTATGACAGTGTGACACATTGAGGCAGCTTATGGTAGTGGGGCGAACTCCTATTGTCTAAGGTTATGTTTCAACCTAGTAAGTGCGGAACTAACACACAATAACACGCGGTACTTGGCCCGCATCCTAGGTATCACAGGACAACAGAGCACGTCTGTTTCCACAGACCGAAATGCATTCTCACCAGTTTTGTGCAACTCATCAAACATCTAAAATCGGTCAACCCCAAATGTTGCTGAGTGATATGCAGGCATGTATGCGCACAATTGAGACAAACCAAGCAACACTTTAAGTTGATTGAACATTGGTGGTGTCGTACCACCGATTCATAGTAAATATTAGTTAGGAACGGTGACAGACGGTTTCCATTCGAGTTGCCGTTGATCGCTTGGATCCAACCCGATGAATCAAGATCACGCAGTGATACGGGTCGGACGCCTGAGAGCGTTTGAACCATTCTAAACACAGTACAGCCCAACAGATCGCCTCGTGCCGACAGAGCACATTTGTAAGCATAAAACCAGTAACATCATAGTGACATCATGTTTTCAAACACCCGTAATCGGTCCTTCGCGGTATATGATTCTGCGGGAACACTGGAGCCCATGGAAGTATAAAGGCTAGAATCAGCGGCGCGGACATGAGCTAAAGGCTGCATATTCAGGACAAAGTTTACCATAAGGAATGAGCAACAATGTCCCATACTTCATCTACTGCACGACAGAACAACTGGATATTATATCGCAGAGTTACCACAATCCCCAAGGTAGTTATAACCTTAGCAAGGATTCAAGGTAACAACGATGGATTTCGCGAGAACTTCCTTCTTTCATCCGACGCACAGCGTGTAAGGATTGGTGGATTTGTCCGTTTAAAGCGCTCAGCCAGATTTGGGTAGCGTTAAGGCGACATGACTCTGTCTAGGTGATTTGCCGCAATATATGGTTAAATCTGATGGAAGACTGACGCTGTCACACAAAAAAGGGTGGGTGCTGGATTGAAAAGTTGCAGCGGCACTCTAATCTGCAATTTATTTGGTTTACTGTGGCTATCACGATTCGTCGAATGCTGTGCGTGCACAAACAGGTATTCGTCAGACTCAAGCTTCCTCGGACATAAAGACCGAATGATTTTCATCCATTTCTATCCACAAGTTTGTTTCTTTGCTTGGTCTTATCCGCCGTCTGTTATTGTTTTTCGTCGGTTATCGTTCTTGGTATTGATAGACAATACGAACTGCTTGCATGTATCAATTGTCGTATCCCTGCTGTACGTTTCGAACTGAGAGTTGACCAAAATCCTATCTATGTAAACGGCTGAACTTGATTGCAGCTGAGTACTAAAGCTTGGACGAAGGCTTTGCATACTACTTTCACTTGATGTTGTTACTAACAACAAGGAAAGCCGTACTTGCTCAGTTCTGCGTGAGTCAACAGATGTCAGGAATAACGATAAACTTCTCCAGGTAAAGTCCGAGGCTGTCAGAAGCGTAAGCGACTATATAGCCTACGTAAGATGCAGATAAGAAGCATGCATTTGAAGAGTTGATTAGCGTAAACAGTCTACTTCACCTCAGAACGAACACAAGAATGGGCTAATCTCTAGTCTAACACACAAAGATAATTATCATAGTTAATAATCGGATGACGTTAAGCACAACTCAGGTTTCATTGAAGCAGATGTTTGTTGAAGAATCTCGAGGCCAAATCCACCGCCTCCTTGATGGATTGCTGCGTGCGTGGATTGTCCCAAGCTCCGCGGGCAGTGGCGAACCCGTGGGTTTCATTGTGGAAAATATGATAAGCGCATTGTGATCCGATGGGACGACTATCCAGGATGGCTTTGAGGGGATCTATGGGAGGGTCGTTCCCAGCGGGCATAAAGAACACAGGGACCGTCAAGTTTTCAGCATCCTCAGGACAAAGCAAATATCCGTGAATAGATACGCCGGCGCCAAAGCGAAACCCCAGATGGTTTGTTTGGGTTTGGTTGGAGCAAGCAAGAACTGCTTGCTTTCCTCCCCAACAAAAACCAATAATTCCAAGTGTAGCAGAGGGACAGAGGCCATCGGAAAGCAAGCAGTTGCGAGCTGTCTTCAAGTCCTGATGAAACGAAAGCCAAAGACAATGATACTGTGTTACACGACATGATGAATTTGAACACGAGTTACACGTGTGGAATAAATGGGTTATTTTACCGTGTGCACTAATGGCTGAAGAATCCTTCGCCGTTTATGATAACACGCTAGTCTAACAAGGAGGATTGTTGACAACGGGATCCACACTAAATAAACCAAGTGCTGGAGAAACCGCTAGACAGTGTGATTTAACGGAAATGCTCGCCACTCAGAAGGCACAAGGTAAACATATCGAGTGTAACTATCAACGGATACGCACGCTAGCGGAAACAATTCGAGAGGTGATAACTGTATTAGCCAACAAAGATGGGACTGGTAAAGGCGATGTTGCGCTTGGTCCGAGATGCGGATCTCCACGACTCTCGTTGTGGCTTGCTGATTGTCAGTTCGAAGGGTGCTTTCTAGCGCTCCGCAAAGTGAAAGGTGGGAGCAGAATGATTACAGCGTTAGGTGAAATGTTTTCTAATGATATTCATCGACATAATGTCAACAACGAGGAAATAAACCACATTACAATCCGACCTTCGAAAAAACCCATTTTCAAGTGTTTATTTTTTGGAGTTATCAGCCAAAGATGAAACGAAGTATCTCTAACAACAGATACTCTAACAACAGTGATGATTGACCACTTCACCCGATGTGTAGAAGCTGTGAAGGTAAAAATCAAATGGACGAAACCGTAGTACGGATATTCAAATTCAATGTGTCAACGAGGTTTGAAACACAAAACTGCGTTATTACGGACCAAGGACCTTGCTCTGAATCGAAATCGTTCCAAGTGATTTTGGACAAGTGGGGATCTAGAGACAATGCACATCACCGTACCACCTGCAAATCAACGGCATGACAGAACGGTTTAATCAAACTATGAAGCCATGTATAAACTTCACGAAATCTGCGTGGGAGGAGGCATTGCTGAAACTTCTAATTGCGTATCGGGCCAGTATGCAGCCGACCAACATGTTTTCTTCATTAGAACTGTAGTTCAGTAGAGCACCAAGAATCGCACACGACACCTGCTTAACAACTGCACTTGAGTGGGAAAATCCGACAGCACATCACGAGATATTGGAAGCAACTGGCAGAAGAGAAACCAAATCTCAACAGTTGCGAAAGATGCCGAACTATGATGTCAGGTACGTAGCGCGAAAATGGAGAGCATTCAGTAAAAAGGAACAAGTCAAGTTGCGAAACTACGATCACGCAAAACAATGGGGATCCGGTGCGAACAAGTTCATTGAAGGTTGGAAATATACACCGTGAATAAACAAAAGTAGTGAGTATTAAAATTGAAAATAGGATGACCAAACTCTGCGTAAGGGCAGCTCTACTGCGGCGATGGTATTCGAGGGAACAGCAACCCCAAGCAGGGACGGGAGTAGTGGCGCGGAAGGCAGCGATCACGCAAGACAGAAAAGTCACACGAACGAACGAGGACCGAAACGGGCTCAGACCTCATGGACCAGATTCGGTTGCGCAACGCCAACCCAACAAAATGAGTTGAGAACAGAACGCGAGCAACAAACGGGAAGGTGCCTGAGCCAAGGAGTACAGGGAACGGATGTGTCGAAAGGCCAATAAAACAGACAGAAACGCGTTTGTCAGTGCATCCAGGAGTAGCCCAAAACCGAATACCGCAACAAAGATCAAGCAAACTAAAGAGATTTGGGCAACTCCAGGCTGATCAGATTGTGTGCTACGGAACTAAAGCTACAGGATCCGACAGGCAGCCAGCGCCCCTATATTTGCAGGCCAACGAGCACGAGCATCACATGTTTTGATTCCTCATGTATCTTGTGTTTTGGGATGGAAACATCGTTGATATATTCGCGCATGCGCGCAGTTTATGAAAACCGTTGCGGCGTGCAAGAAAATTCTGTTTACTTGTACTTTTGTTCTTGATACAAGTACACCCTAACCGGACACAGACAAGAAATGAGAATCTGAAAATAGTCAACTGTTATAGCAGTTTTCATCGTTTCCTCATCTTGTGGTGAGAATGATGCGGGAGATTATTAGATCGTGTATCACCAGAGCAATAAGCAACCTGACCACTAGTAAACGGCCGTACGTATATGGACCGAGTTTCCTACTCAAGACGCACCGCGGTTGAGGATTTGGGAGACGAGCCATCCCATCTGCCTTGCGAGCTTGAGCCCAGGGAACAACTCCTCCATGTTTCGTCACATATCTTAGCTTCGCTATATCCGATTCTGGCCAGCCAGGAATCGTTCGAAAGCCTGCGATTATTTCCCCTGGTTGTATTGTAAGGCCCTCGTTTAGTTTTTGTGTACTTCGCCAGCGGCGAAATTAAATGATTCCCTGCGTTCAAGATAAATACCTCCTCGGTCGTTTTGGGCTTAGGCACGTTACCAGACGTAGCTCGTGATCCGCTCTCGGTTTGATTCGCAAGCTTGGTACTGCGTAGTCTCATCTCATCCAATGCGATCGACGGTAATTTGCTAATATACTGCTTTTGTTGTCTTTAACGGTGGGATAATGTCCACAAGCCAGCCTGCAAACACGAGTTGCGAGAAATTACCATTGAAAAGATTGAATCAAGGGGTGGAAACTCGTCGTAAATTCGCACCTACCGCATAGATCACAATATTATTGAGACATGCCAACACCCACTTTCTACTTTTCGCTGAAGCTGTCCTAATCAGCCAAGTCAAACGGGCACTCTGTGTGTCAAAGAGCTTTTCATAAGCGTAAAGCTCCCATGGACGTGGGGTTTGCAAATCAGTATCTTAGCCTGTCTGTATCATATCCGGTCACACACTGGCTGCAGTTTTATATATTTTCATGTTATTGTATTGACACTGACATGAAAATATGACATGTTGACATCTTCTAGCTTTCGTCTTCTCACTTCGTTTTTTAAAATGTTAAAGGGAACCAACTGTTTCAACGGTTTTTTGGCACATTTGTTTGAGCACATTCAGTCGATTTGCATTCTCCTGATCTATCTGCTGCTCGCAATGATTTCATTTAATCTTCGAGGTTTTAACAATTCACTTCACAAAGCATTTCTACATATTTATTCTGGGAGCTAATATGCAAGATATTACGTTATTTTTCTACACTACGTTTCTTGTTGTCTGATTTTGAAGACAACGCTGAGAGTATTCTATGGACCTACCATCAGACCTGACGACAGCTATAGCCAAACTCGTTGCAAATGCGGCGGTCTGTTCGTGCAGTGCAACCATCCGCGGCTCGCTCGGAGTGGATGGCGCGAGCCCGTAGAATCGGTGAACTGATCGATAATCCTGCGACCTTCTCTGTCCACATCTGACCGCAAGGCGGAGTCTGGATTTTACCAACATTTCTCAATCGCTATTCGTTATATCGCAACGAGTGAAATTTGGCGACTACGGTTGTCACCTACTTCTCTGGGCTCATACGCGTGTTACGGTGGCGAAACAGCTGACTACAATGGTGCACACTAGCGGGGCGAGATCGGCCAGATCACGTGAGCGACTGACAGGCTCGTTGTCATGGTTAAACCGGAAGCTGACGAAATCAGACCGTCGTCGCCGCACGGGTTGCTATGTTGCGGACGTGATTCTACCTACAGATGGCCGCTACCAGAGTTGAATATGTTCAGACAAGCGGTGTGACTCACCTCAGTGATAGAGGCGAGGTAAGCGCATGTGACCTATAAAAGTAGCCGTTTTGTGCCCAATATACTTCGGTCTAGCAGGCTCAGCGTTTTGTTTTCCCCGACTGGTTGGTAGGGCAGAGAGACAGAGGCAAAAGGGCAGCGTTATAACAACGCGACACTTGGAATCAACGATTACATTCGCGCACACAACAAGACCTGTGTAGCTGACCTGTCCAAAGTCCCATTCTCAATAAATGTGCACTAACGGCTTGTAGTGCTCCAACCGACAAAATAATGAAAAAATAAACTAGCACAAAATCGTACATGTACCGACAAGCAGTATACGGCCCCATAAGCGGGAGCGATCATTTAAACTGGGCACCATCAGTTGCTGGCGTTTTCATGTCGGGCACATTAATGTCTCCAGTGGTGAAAACGCTACTGTAAGAGGTGCTTAAAGAAATCCGAGAGAGGTGGTTCAGTTCGGAGATCTTTTTCAAAGTAGATTCTTGTGGGCGGTAAATTACGGCTAGTAGATATGTATCCTTGTTCCACAACCATAACCGGCACCAAAGGGAATCAGGGGCGCTGATTTCTAAGTGATCGATAATTTCACATCAAGTGTTTGCCTTATAATAAAGAATTTCACTGCCAACACTACCAGCTCTATCGTTTGAAAGCTATAACATAGCTGGTGCATAATTCTCAGAATTTGTTATTTCAATGGGTTACCAGGTCCCTGTAATAATAACGAGGTCGCACCGTTGTGTTGCATGGAATTCTCTAAGTTCGGCCAATCTACTAAGATGGTCTTTAACGTATAAACAGGATATTCTTTTGATTGTTAGGAGTCTGTTGATGAATGACAAATTAGTGTTTATATTTAAGCTGACCTTTAGGTGGGCGGTTTCTTATTTGTTTTTTGTAGTTTATCGTCGTTTTATGAATTTCAGTCGTTATATGGCATGGCAGTGTGCACCAGATCAGGATGTCCACCTGCTTTAATCTGTCCTATCGTGTGCCGTGGGTGTTATTGTGTCGATCTCTCCGTAGCACTGTCAAAACCAAGAATTTACGGCGGTTGCAAGTGCTGTCGAATTGTTTACCACTGTGGCCGTGCGGCTGCTGCCTTTAGCCGGATCTCGGTTGGCAACCTGGTACGAAAATTCCATCAGTTATCTAATAAAACTTGTGTAATTCCTTCAAAATGTAACACCACTTTCTTTTTACCTCGATGTCAACCATTGTAGTTAGGTGATGAAGGGATTCTTATTAAGGATTTTGCGATATAATTGTCCAGAGAGCGTGCTTTGTGGAGGTGGCACCACCAACGGTCATGTTTCTGTGTCGTGATAAGGAGAATCCGGAAG